AACCACGAAATAAATATTTGTGGCAACGGCGCAGCGGGAGGCCCGGGCGCCGGCGGCCGGGCAGCGCTCCTCCGGCTGCAGCGAGGTCCCGGCTGGGCACTCCCCGTGGTCCTGAGCAGAACCCTCAGGTCCCCTAGGTCCCTCCGCTCCCCGCGGGCCCCAAGATGGCGGCAGGGCCGGCGGGCGCCGCCTTTGTTGCGCGCGGGGCCGGGCGGCGGCGGCGCGTGCGCGCGGCGTGAGGGGCGTGAGGCGGCTGCGGCACCGGCCCCGGCCCTGCCCGGCCCCGGCCCCCGGCACGGCCCTGCCCCGGCCCCCGGCTCGGAGCGGCGCCCGCGTGGATGGGATGGAAGCGGGACCCTCGGGAGCAGGTACCGCCGGCGGGGATGGAGGGGTGGGAGCGCTGCGCACCGTGGAGCGCCGAGAGGGCGACGGGGGGCGAAAGGGATGGAGGCCGGGGGGCGGGTGTGCGGCGGGGGCCAGGGGGCCTATACCGGGTGGGGATCGGGGCGGGGGGTGGGGGAGCGCGGTGGAGGGTGTGCGGAGGGCAGCGCGGCGGGTGGTGATGGATGTGGCGGCTGCGCGGGATGTGCGGGGGCGATACCGGGGATCGGGGGCTGTCGGAGGCGCGCGGGGGTCTGAGCAGTGGGGATGTGGGGGCGGCTGCGGGGCTGCAGGGCAGGCACGTCCCCCTGGTGCCCCGAAAACAGCAGCGGTGCGGGCGCAGGGGAAGGGGCGATGGAGAGACTCGCAGAAACCTCTCAGGAGGGGGCACAGGGCCGGGGTCACGTCCAGCCGCAGGTCCCCACAGCGCGGAGCGAGCCCTGCTCAAGGGGAATGTTCTGTACAAAGCAACAGGAGCAGCAGCCCCCCAGCTCCCCATCCTTTCCCCCAGCTTCCATTCCATTCCCCCTGCCTACCACCGCCATCCATTCCCCCGGCTGCCATTCCACCACCCTCCACTCTCCCTGCCATTCCACAGACCCCCCCCCCCCCCCCCCCCCCCCCCCCC